TTATTATTATTATTATTATTATTATTATTATTATTATTATTATTATTTTTTTTTTTTCTTCAATTATTAAAATGTATTTTTAATTTTTTTTTATTAAAAAAAAAACAATAAAAAAGAAAAGCTTAATAGAATAACCGGTGATAATAAATTTACCCTTACAGTGAGGATGGTTTCGGTGGTCTGTTTACTCTACTACCCGCACTTTGGCATAGTGGATGAACAGATTCTGAAAAACTGAAGGGAAAGATGGATAAGGGGCCACACAAAACCTCACTGAGGTTTAGAGTTTTGCAGTTACCACCTGATGTCCAACAATTTCAATCCAGCTCCCATGTTTTTTTTATTTTTTATGTCTATGGCTCTAGAAACCGTGCCTTTAAAAACATAAAGAACATAAAGAATGTCTCATTCGCACGGATTGTGTTTTCAGTGCTGTGATGGACCTGGGCGTGCCTCGCCTCACACCAAATAGCACCTAGGATGGGCTTCGGACCTGAAATGAATACAGCACAATGTAGACAATGGACGAGTGGATGGGTTCACAGTGAGGCAGCTTCGCATTGAGCCGTAGATTTATAGTTTAATTTGTGGGTTGGTATCAATGGATCAAACTCTAAATAGACACCGGAAATACCAAAGAGCTGGTTAAGAGCTAGACAGTATTTGTATCAATATCAATACATCAAACGATAAAATCCAAACCAGGCCTTGGCTGCTCTGGCCTACATTAATCAAGACCTTTAATGACTCAGAGGCGATGCACAGCATTTTTTATGGAATAGTCTGTTAGAGCTGAAACAGGAGAAAAGCATATATAGTTAAAAAGTGCATCATAGTTTATTGTTATTGGGTTTTTAAAAAATCTATGCATGTGCATGATTATACTTAAGTGTGTAATACTTCTCCAAAATTGTATTGAAAAATGTCCATAAGTAGAAAACTACTTTTTTTTTTTTAACCGTACAACACATTGCTAAATTAATTTTGATTTGTTACATTTATAACACGCAGGAAACAGATACAACCCATAATCATTTTTGCAGAACAGCATCGAGTGAGGAAGAAAATCGGTGTTGATGACTTAGATGGTCATGTTGTTTAAATAAAGGATGATGGACCTAACCATGACCATTTTCTTATCCTGACCGAGCATATAATGATCTAAAGTGGTCAGGATGTTGTTCCATTCATCCATGATAAGGACTGCAGCTTCTACAATGAAGCACCTTAATAAGATTTCACCAAATAGAGGGAAGATTTATGTGAGCTGTAGTTGCCTTCTTCAGCTTGTGGAGGTAGTTTAAAGGATGTTGTTATGAGCCTTATTACTTCCTATGAAGAAACAGATTTTATGACTGCTGACCGTGCAAGCTGAAGGCTTATAAAATGACAATAAATCCAATATTGTCAGCTTTAATAGACTGTGGAAGTAAATTCTTCCCGTGTTTGGGTCCAAAGACGCAAAATTAAGTTTTGTTTTGTTTTGAAAAAAAAAGAAAAAAAAGAGAGAGACAGCAAATTCAATAACTAAGAAAAAAAGAGCAAAATTCAAAAGTAGAAAAAAACAAAATACCAAAATGTAACGTGGGTAAACAACAAGGGATAAGGTGTCAGGAAGAAAACAGTAAAAAGTCACAGACGATAGAAAACTGTAATATACTGTGAGCTTTCACTTTCTCCTAGGGTCAATTTGGAGTAATCAATTAACCTAATAGACGTGATTTTGGACGGTGGGAGGATGCCAGAGTACCCTGAGAGAATCTACACGTAGATGAGAAGAACACGGAAACCCAGATTCAAACTAGAGACCCTTTTGCTGTGAGGAGACAAGGCTAACTACCTCTCCTAGTACAGACACCTGGAAAAGGAAAACAACTCATAAAATGGAAAACAAAGAAAAACCAGGAACTCAAACTCACAAAACAAACCACAGATCACAAGAAAATGCAAAAAAAGAACAGATTACAAACCAAAAATCCCAAGAAATCCAAAACACACTGAACATTTGCGGATGAACTACTCCAAGAGAGAATTAAAGAAAACTAGATTTAAATGGACATTAGACCCCTGTTGAGTCCTTGTTGGACAGGATCCGTGAATATAAAAGACTCACAAAAGGGAGAACACACAACAAAGGATCAGAAAACTAAAAGCGGGGCTCTTCCAGGAAAGCTATATTTTTTTTACCAGTTATACCTCCTTTTCACGTGTATCAGGCGCCATCTACATGGTTGACTGCAGACAACACAAGTGAAAAGTAAAGAGTTAAAAAGATGACAGACGCAACAAATATATGAGGTGTAGCCTTAAAACTGGCCCCCCATGTGTAGAGAGCACCAACTCTATAGTATATTTTTACTTTCTAAGTTACCCTTAAGTCAACGTCTTGCTGAGGATGGATATGTGACGCAAACGGAAACTAAGAGGGTGTTGAAGTTCCCCATCAATAAGCAGGGGATTTTTTTTTCTTCTTAATTGTGGATTTTCTATGAGACCTATCAAGAGATACACTGATTCACTAAATGTTTGATGAAATCAGAGTTCTGTATCTGGACATATAACATACTGTATATAACACTCCATATCAACATATCATGTATGATATAAATTAACATAAACTTCATGTCATATGGGTTAAGTTTACCATTCTGACATCATATCTCATATTTATGCAATATTCTCATTATTTTACACATTTTGCAACGTTATGTTGTAATTGTATTTGGGTCTTTATCATATCTCAAACGTACCAGACCTCTACGACGACCTAATTTCAGTTAATGTCACAAGTCAGTTTGCCAATTTGGTATGCAGTACTGGACTGGGTCAGGGAAGGGGATGTTGTGCAACCATTACTTAACCAACAAGGAATTGAATGTAATCAGTTCTGATGATAGTCAACCGTTTTCTCAGTATCCGTCGTATCTGTGTCTAATTAATATAAACTCACCGTGAAAATAAATGTAATTAACAACAAGCTTCAAGCCCAAACACATTCACTAGATTATGAAAGCAAAAATAACTGAAACATGGGCACAGTCCCCAGACTGAGAATTCAGAATGACTGTGGTGCCACCATGTGGTCAGAAAATGGTCTGATATTTGAAGAGCGGGCATCCTTTCGTCTTCTCCAGCTGTTCGGTCAGTATGTAGTCCACCACAGGTCCAGCACAGAGAGGAATGAGACAAACAATCTCGGTCACTCCTACAGTTACAGTCCCACTGATACACTTTTTTTTGGACTGTGGGAGGAATAGGAGTTGGGAAGTTTCAATAAAGTTGAAAAAATAGGGAAGAATCAACATGCAAACTCCAAACTGGGAGAATTTAATGGACGGTATATATTCCAAAATTGTATCTGGAACCCTGTGGAATGACAGTATCAGCTACCACAATTAACCCTTTTTTTATTTGTTTAACCTTTATTTAACCAGGAAGTCCCATTGAGATTCGGAATTTCCCTTTAAAGCCTGATCCAAGAATAAAACAAAACAGAAAATTAGTTTCTTTATTAAGGTCTTTATTAAAGTCTTTATTTGGCTTTTTAACAAGATATGTAAAAAGAAAAAACAAAATTATTATTTACTACTATGCGATAAGTCAAGATAATTTTTTGTGTAGTCTTCTGCCCCCGTTATCAGGTATATCTGAATGTGTACAACAGGATTTTGAGCAAAGTTTTTACCATTAAATTATGCAAAAGGTGTCAGACGCAAAACATTTCAGAAACCTTATGTATCAAATATGATACGTTTGGCATTACAGGGTTAAGTGCTGTGTTTTAGTCAAACATTCTCCTTTAAGAATGTTATTCAAATCACGAGCGTTGAAATAGATGCTGTTTGGGTCCAGTCAGCTTTGTGGGATGTCTGTTCTGAAACGAAAACCAAAAGCAATCCACCACCTCCACCCGGAGAGGAGAACGAGGTCCCAATGGCCCACGGAGAGCCAGTCATAACCAGCCATGCCTTACGAATATACATCGGTGAAAAAGAAAACATGTATGTCAAATGTATGCCAAGAGAAGGTTTGCTAAAGCTGAGCTCATCTCTTCTAGAGCAAGACAAAAGGTGAGTTGGGTTCAAACTTTTCCTGAAAAATGAAATATTAATTCAAGGATGGAAACTGAAAAGTATTCCGCACGACTTATGCCTGTAGAATTAGAATAATTTGGCTTTATTTTTGTTTAAATGCAAGGGTGGAAGCTGCAGGGTGACAGTTACAGGTATTTGTTTGTAGTAATTACATTTTTTTAAACTAAAAATAGCTGCATGGAGGCCAGAGTGAAGGGCTAAAACACTCCAAGATTATGAAAGCCTCAATTTGCTTTGTGCTACACAGGGGAATTCCGCAAATAGTCTGTTGTCATTTACCAACTTCAACCTTCCACCATTTTCCTCATGAGAACTCCCCAACTTTATTATTTTTTTTTAATCTTAAGAATGGAGTTATAAACAGTACTGTATATATATAAATAAAATACATATATTAACTTAGATGTTGATTTGATTTAATATTAACATTTATATGAAATGATATACAGTATATATATGATATGTAAATTATGTGTTTTTATAAACATGTATATATATTCATATAAAATATACATATCAACTTAGATATTGATTTAATTTAATTTGAACATTTATTTGAAATTGAGATGTAAATTATGTTTTTTTAAAAACATTTTGTTAGTCAAACAAAGACTCCAGACAAAAACAAAAAACAAAAACAAACCAAAAAAAATGTTGTTTCTGTATATCTGGAGTGTGTAACAAAGATAATCTCCCTCTGGGATCATTAAATTATTTCTGATTGTGATCTGATTTAAAAAAAGGTTTCAGTTAACACATGGTAGCAGCATAATATATTAAAATTACACATTGTGGTGTGTAAAACATTTCAGTCTTTCAAAGTTGTGTCTTCACTAGAATGACGAGGCCGTGATTCCGGTATCAATCAAAAAAAGAAAAAATGCCCGTGTCCCAAAACCTCAGGAGCAAGCAGCTGAGGCCAAATTCAAGATGAGGCTTTAAAAAAAAGTGAATTCATTGCAAACATATAGTATCCGTATAACTTTTTAATAACAGTAGAAAGTGCGTTATGCTGATTCACAAACCCCCGTGAACCAGCGTCACTGATCGCTTTTTGTAACTTACATTTCAAAGAACACTTAAAAAAATTGGAAAATATTCAAGTCTGTCGGTCTAAATGTGTCTGAGACTGATGGATGACATTTAAGAGTGGACAGTTATCTGGAGCAATAATCTGTCTGATGCAAAGTGTTTTCCAGAGTTAAAATCTGTTTGTGTGGAAGAAATGATCGAAATACAATACCAGGACAAAAAAAAAAAAAACATTAAAAAAAGGAAACCAAAATATACATTAGAAAGTAGGGGAAAATTTAAACCATTGTTATGTAACATAATTTATATGATCAGTTTTTCACCTCCCACGCAAACCATATTTACAATTAATTTTGAGATGTTACCTAAATGAGCCTGTAAACAACTAAGATAATTTATGTATCTTAGTACATATGTATCATACATATATTTATGTATGATCCTTTATGCTAGCTGTCATACTAGAGACATCAGACAAATGTAACTCATCCTGATTTGCTGTTATATATGTAATGCAGCGTAAAATTTATTTCCCAAAAAGAATGTTCCTGAACAACGGGATGGTTCATCCATGATGCTTAACTGCTATGTAGCTAATGGCTAGATTGTGTTTGAGGTCATTTATATAGAGCATTAATATAAAAAAGCGAAATGTGAGAGCAAATCATTCAAAGCTTAGAATTATGTAACACCAGTAATGTTTTGCTACGTATAAATTGACATTTTAGTGATGCATTTGGCAGGTTAGCCACTGTGTCCCAACATCAGAAACCGTCCTGTGAAAAGAGGCCTTTAAAAACAAACAAAAAAAATCCTCAGTTAATTTGACATAATGGCAGCCACTGGGATGCTTCCCCCTCTTTTGAATTCTCAAAAGTGTTAGCTTCTTTTTTATACCAAGATAGTTTATCCAGAATTTGTAAGTGGCAGAGAAATACTTCATTAAGTTTAAGCAGAAATTCTGATTCACTTAACAGGGTGAGACTTCCAACTGCTTCATAAAATGAACTGTACTGTGTCCCTTATAAAACCATGCTTATAAAAAAAATGGTACTTAGTTAATAAATAATTCATCCATCCAGTTTCCTGCTGGTTTGGGATTTTCTTCAAGAGTTGTTTACTGCCTGACTTTGTGTGATCTCATGACATCGCAAAGCTTTTAGCACTTCATCCTGAAGAAGTTGTGACCAGAGTCTGTGACCAGACGAAAAACATCACACTTTTTTATATTTTGAATGCAAAAAAAACAACACCAACACTCAGATGATCCCACGAGGCAACTCACCATAAATGAAGGCAAGCAGTGATCATTTAAAAAATAATTTATAAACGAAGCATTCCTGGCAAACCATAACCAGAAAAAGACATGTAACAAAAGGAAATATCACAGTTGGGTGTAAATGATGTTCGAATAGCTGCGAGGCAAAAGTAAACTACGTGTCAAAACAACTACTGCAGAGAGACAAGATGCTGGACTTTGTCCAAATAAAGTTAAAGCACAGGCACGGCGATGAAACGTGGCAAACTGAGGGGCCCATGTCTGTTAGTTCCACCCGGGAAAAAGCTCATGTGGGCAGAGTCAATAAGGTCTTGATGAGTCGTCCATCCTTCCATTTTTAATGCAGGATGCGTCCAACGGTGGAGATGAGGGATCAACGGCACCAGAAATATTCATTGTGGAGATCTCAAGTCCGCCCTTTAGAGTTGGTAGTGCAAAACTGACAAACCTTCGAGCGGTGCGGCAGTCCAGAGACAAAACAGACAGAAAAAAAAAAACTGTCCGTGTGCTTGCCGGATGGAAATATCTGAACAATTTAACCACGGCTTGAAATCGGCGCAATTGGACATCAATAGAAAACTCTCCCATTTTTTTTTCTTTTTTTTTTTTCTCTTTCTGGGCTCTCCTAGATGCAAAAAAGTCACTGTTATACCATTGTGTTGCTCTCACCCACTTTGTCCACGTACTGAAAAAGAAAGAGAAAAACAAAAAACGTCATGGGATAGTTGTTGGTCCTCCGTGGGGCGGGGCACGATGGACGCACAGATGTGGGAGCGGTGCGCGCATGCAAAGAGTTATTGGGGTTAAACTGGGCTGAAGTGGTCATATGTTACACAGAAGAATGTCTTAAGAAAGTGTGTGCGACTGGAGGAGACGCACCACAGGAAAACAGCTTTTTTTTTTTTTTAAATTGATCATTTTAAGCAAACCCAATTTCAACATATACTTAATGATAATCTGTGATTTCTCTCGGCTTATGGTTAATCAAATGTGTCTGTGGTATGTGCCCTTTAAGCCAAATAATCAGGATTCAAGTGTTAAAAAAAAGATAACCAAAGAAACAAATTGATATACACTTCAAATGAAAATTTGACTCTCTAATCACAGACATGAATGGCAACGCTTTTTTTCATTAAGTCGTGACAACACTTTTGTTTGCTTCCAGGAAGAAATGGGGCAAAAACAAAATAACCATACAGGTTTTTTTTCATTTTGGATTTCCTCACGTGGGCATTTACTTACTTGAAGGGTTCTAAAATACAAAACCAGCCAGTGAAAATCCACTGACAGCGGTTTTGTCGTGATTTTGATTGACTGATTGAACACTTTACTGATCTCACGAGGAGAAATGCGGTCATGCGGTTGGCATTCATGTCTATGAGTGTGTGCGAACTGCCAGTTGGGGATGTGTGTGCCTCTCTTCTGTGATGAAGCGAGCGCTTTTGGATTCCCGAGCGTGCGAGATGTGTCGGCATGCGCGGGAAAATCGGCAGTGACTGACCACTACTGCTGATTGTCCTCAAGAGCCTTACGAAGGCTTTAAAAGCAATAATAATAAAACAAACGGACAAACAAAAACAAAAACAGACAGAGACAAATTCACCTCAAAACAACACAGTCAGGGCATGTGAATTAACTGGAAAATGGAATTATGTGTAATATGTCTAATGTGTGTCAAATTCTAGAGCCGGACCAAAGCTGACACCATTATTTTATTTTTAAAAAAATCATTTTTTTAAGTTCTAGCTGCATTATACTATATAATAATATTATATTATAATATTATATTGTCCCTTGTCAATGGACAATGCCGGTTTAACAACCCAGCTCTGAATCAAAGGGCAGATCGATTACCAGGTCTGTTGTGGTTGAGGTGTTGGAACTGGATGATTAATGAACAAGAAAATAGAGCCGTGCTGCGTCGTGTCAACAAAGCAGACACATTTGCAAGGCAGCCGCAACAATACTCACCGCACTGATGAAGGGCAGGTTGAGGATGGAGCCTAGAACTGGTATTCTTCTGATGAAGCCTACAACTACTGGGAAGAAGCCCCTGTTTGTGAGAAAAAAAGGAATAAAGACAGAGGAGGAGAGTTGGGAAATTAAATGTGGAGACATTTTCACACGGTATGTAAATAAATTGTACTGAAAACTTCATCATACCTGAACAGGAGGAAAAATCCATAGACCTCCAGCACCACTCCAATGATAGGCCAGCCAATCAACACCACAAGCACTCCCCCGAGGAAGAAACCCGTGGCCTTCATCTTGTGCTTCTGGAAGAAGAAGCGGAACGTTCTCTCCAGCCCGATGACGAAGGCGAGTCCGGCAACAAACAGAATCTACGACGAAAACATAGGGTTGCACAGGATTAAAGAGAGATTTCTGGCGCATTTTCCCAGACTTTTAATCCAGGATGAACGGCTGATTGGTAATTCCAGGCTGCAACAAATCTGTGAAGCGATACTGAGGAGATCATGTTGTTTATCGCATTCAGGGGGCATGATAAACGTGTGGTTGTATTTGTATTAATTCATTTTTAATGCTAGAAAGAGTTAAAGAGTCACATAATGAGATATAAGAGAGATGTAGGCACCTCATTGTGAAATAAAGGTGAAGGGCAACTCTATTTAGACACAAACAACTCAAATTAGGGAGGTAAACTTTCATTGAGACAACCCCAATACTCACATTTCCAATTGCCAGTAAAGCTTTGTCAAAGAACAGGATCATCCCAAAGAAAAGGAAAAACACGCCGAAGCCCGTTAATCCCATTCCAATTTCTGTAGGGAAAAAAAAAACACACATACATCAGTCACTTCTCTCTGTATGCCACTGTGTCCCAGAATAAACTACAAAATAAGCATGAATCACACTTCCAGATTTACTTCGCGGTTAACTCGGATTTTGTAGGTAGAGAGCTTAACAACATGCAATTCCAACGTGTATATGTATCCCATTAGAAGCACTTTGGTATTATTGTGACTTGGTTACTCGGGCAATTATACACAATCCCCTAAGAAAGAAATAGAAGCTAACTCTGGTAGCATTAAAAGCCAGCTGCTAGTTAGCTGCAGCTCAGGGAAGCCGGTCAGTCAACAGCGACCTACAAGACACACTCTTAAGCCACAAAGCTCTTACTTTGAGAGTCCGACAGGGAAATCATCTTGCTGCTTTATAAATATCTGGATTTCGAACCGTAACAAAATGAAAATGATACTGAAAAGCTTCAAATGTTCTACGAGTTTGTATGACAGCTGCCACAACTTCAACAGCCACGTCTTCCGGAAACACACCTTCTCGGTGCATCAACTTCCGGAACGAGGCACTGAGCCACATTCAAAACAAAAGCTTTTCACTCCACCGAACAAGATTAAATTGTACTTTATATTTGACAACTAATTTGTGTGAATGAATGAATAATCATTGTTATTCACTTGCTAACCAAAAGAGACAAATTAATGGCAGGAACAACTGTGAAAAAATCTCTTGAAAACGATTTCTAATCTTTCTGAATATTAACGTCCTATTAAAATAATGGCCTAAGTAATTTGTTACATTTTTTTCAGAAAACACAAAGATGAGAGTTGGTCAGTATCATGGAGAGATAGCGGATAAAAAATTGTTTCAGGAAGTTAGTGGTGTGTTTCTTGAATGTGTCAAAACTGTGGCAATGGTACTTTGCACCCTTCTTTTTTTCCGAAAGGCACAAATGCTGTTCGTTCATCACAAAACGGTATGTTTGTTTAATGGTAGACGTTACATATTACACGTAGGTTAATGGTATTTTATTGTAAAACTCCCTAAAGGGGTCTGGTTTTTCATTATGCGAGTTAGTTTTCAGCAAGGTACTTCTACGCAGCCTGGCAGTCTAAACTCAGGGACAAGAGACCCAATTTAGTCTTGTGCTACCCTTTATGTTTTGCTATAGAGAGGGGCACTTCACTATAGCAACGTGTAAGTGGATTCATTGACAAGGAGGGTCCGGGTAGGAAATGCTACTTTGCTTTACAAAAGAGTTATGAGTTCTACATTGAATCAAACTCGGCTCGCAACCCGAAATTAGCATTTGCCCATGAAGCACAGCGTAGCTCTTGTTCGCTGGAAAAAGCGGTAGAGTCCGAGGAGGGATTCAAAATTAGATGTCCATCTTTGGATGAGACACACATGCTATACACCCATCAGCGGCTAAAAGCTAGTTAGCGGAAATTTTAGCTTTAGTTTGAAAGGAGACAGGTGCAAACATGGTATGAAAGTATGCCAGTATAAGACACAGTCGGTGTAGCTTGCTTGCCTTTGTGTTAAAAGCATTTTTAACCGGTAATTTGAAAAAGAAAAGAAAGTCCGAACTTTTTTGGGGTTTCCTGTTTTGTTTATTTGTTAAGGAAATTGGTAGTGTGGGGAATAGGACTACAGCTAATAAGACTACTAAAGTGAATATGTTTCTCTTTTACAGGGGAGCATACAATGACAAGCTGATAATCGACTTCTTTCCGAACCATTCAGAGAAACATGGATGTTGGAGGCAATACTAACGGTGAGTAATTCACTCCGAGTAACCAAAACATATATCAGGAGCCAAGCATCTTAAAGAATCACCAAACACTAGAGCACTTTTGAAATAAACATGTTCATAGACTCTTTCTTTTTTAACCCGTCCGTTGAGTTGTACTGGAGAGAAAGCTGACAGCACAAAGTGCTGCCAAGGCTTCACAGGGATGGCAGGTGTAAAGAGAATTTAACTGCTCATAAATGGTGGAGGTGTCATCCCCAAAGGTTTATTATTTAAGCAAGTGTGAGACAGTCTATCCACTATTAGCCAAGAGCCCACAGAGACCTTACTGATCACGTAGCCCTTGTAAAATGACATTGGTCACCCATAAGATCGTGCAGTTTCCAAGTAAATTCTTCTCGTAAAAGTGCATTTTAATTGTAGCATCCTACTTAATGACGCAATGTAAGTAAAATGCCCAGCAAGATAGATGCATCTATCAGTGATGGTTCCAAGCATCTTTTTCTATGTTTGAAATTCTGGACATTTATTGAATTGAATTGAATATACTTTATTGATCTCCAGGGAGAAATTGACTTCCAGTACAGCCCGTACCAAGATCAAACAAACAAAACACATAGACACACCAGTTCGGGAAGACTGAGGGCAGCCACACAGGAGGGCGCACCATTTTTCTTCAGAACAAAAAGAATACATTAGGAAAGCGGTTGCGGGAAGAGGGAAAAAAAGGCCCAGTGCCACGCCCCCTACAGGGGACATTACAGTGATTTAAAAAAAAACATCAGTACACGAAAGCACAGATACAGTCAAATCACAACATCAAGGACACATTGGGAGGGAAGGATGGGGGGTTGGAAGGAAGGGGAAAGGTAACAGCGAGGCAGTGAGTCCAAGGAATGCATGAAGTCTGTACTTGTGTGTGTGTAAGTGTAAGCAAGCTGGAGTCCACATCCACAGGCTGGATGGAATTTGTCCTTGTGATGCCCATACTCCTGCTTGGGAGGAGGGAGGGGGGATGGGGTGGGCAAAGCGTCCGTCTGCAGTTTCATCCAGGGCAAAGTTGTAGAGTAGCAGCTGCAAGGCCGCTCTCGGGAGGCCAGACTGAGATAAGAGAGATAGCTTAGTTCCATTTACTGGATTTGTTGTATCAACTTTACATCAACTTTACAATAACAGTGCATTCAGCCTTTGGACTTAAGGACTCAAACGATTTAGTTCACATTTAATGGGGTTTCTTCAACATTTTCATGAATGAAAATATAAAAAATGATGAAATAAAAAAAATATATCAAAATGATTGAATTCATGTGGGTCACTTTGCTGGTGTTTTGCGTCCAGATGTGCAGGAAGAACTGGAGTCGGTGGAGGCCGAGCTGGAGCTGTTGGAGCTGCAGATTGCCGAGCTCGTGGAAAAGCAGACCGAGCTGTCCTCTAGGAAGAACATGCTGCTGCTGAAGCTGGAGGACGCCTGCAATGCTGCGCACCCATCTTCCTCTTCGTCCTCGGCTTCCTCCAAGTCATCGTCGGCCGAATCGGCAATGACCAAGGAGGAGATGAAGCGCTACGATGGCACAGGTACAGGACAGCCTAGCCAGCTAGTCTATTAGTAGAAAATAAAACCCACATGTACATTCATTCAGTCATTTTTTGTGCATTCTGTTTGCTATCAGGGTTATACTAAAGTGTGTGAAACTGGAATAAACGATCAATCTGTACTCTGTACTCTAGACTTCACGTGGTCCAGTGATCTGGAGCAGCACCTGAAGGACTCGTTCCAGCTCGACAAGTTCAGACCGCTGCAGCTCAGAGCGATAAACCTGACCCTGGCGGGCAGGGATCTGTTCCTAGTGATGCCTACAGGAAGAGGAAAGAGTCTTTGCTACCAGCTGCCTGCTGTCTGTTCCGAGGGTACAGTGAGGCGCACAACACTTTGTCCTTTCACTGCTGAATCCTGTTAAATATCACCAATAGGAGACCTTCATTGAAATGATTCAGCGTATTCAAACCTTTCTGTGGAACTCATTCATTTTAGCCCTGTAATCACAGGTTTCACACTAGTTGTCACACCCCTCGTGTCTCTGATGGAAGACCAGACCATGTACCTGAAGTCCATTGATGTGTCCGCAGTGATGCTAAATGCATCCAGCAGCAAGGTAATAAATGTCCTCCTTTCTTTTTCTATTTCTCTTAGCAATGCAAAGAGAGCCCAAGTCAAGACAAGAAGCAAAGGATTCTACAAATATCTAAAGATAACCCCATTTTTTTTTTCTTTTTCAAATGATCAGGAGAATACTAAGGCGGCCATGGCTGGAATGACGGACCCAAATTCTCCCATCAAGCTGATTTATGTTACACCAGAGAAGATAGCCAAAAGCAAGATGCTAATGTCTCGTCTAGAGAAGGCCTACAAGGCCAACCTGCTCAGTCGTATAGCTGTAGACGAGGTGCACTGCTGCAGCCAGTGGGGACATGACTTCAGACCAGGTAGGGTTTACTAAAAAAAAAAGATCTTGACTCGGCTCCATTCAAATCTGTGTTTTTTAGAAATTCCTTCTTAAACAGACTGGAATGTTTTAGCCTTACTGTGTTGAAACTGAAAATCTGAGCTTAGTAATCTTTGTTTACATGCATTTTTTTTCTTTTTTGTGTTAAAAGTAAATGCAAAGGACTGATGTGTGCTCATTCTGTGTAGATTATAAACTCCTGGGCATCCTAAAGAGGCAGTTCCCCAAAGTCCCTTTGCTCGGCCTCACGGCAACAGCCACCAGCAGCGTCCTCAAGGACTGCGAGAAGATCCTGTGCGTGAAGCAGCCAATCACACTCACGGCCTCTTTTAATCGAACCAATCTGTATTACGAGGTAACCACGGCCACATGCACACCTCTCAGCCACCTGTTTTGTACAGGAACGCAAACTGAACATGTTTTCAACTCAATCTTGGCTACACACCTTTACCAGTGTTTCAGCTCCTTTATGCTTTTCTGCATCGTTAAAACATAGATGTTTAAAGACGCTGAGATGTCTAATTTGTCTGATCTATGAGTCTTAGTACTGTAGGACTGTAATGTTATACCTGTGTTTGGTTAAGAACCCAACAAAAGGTTGTACGGAGGACTCTAGGGGGCAATAAGAGGTTAGGTTTCAGAATCCCCTGTGAGAGATGAAAATGTAATGTTCTTTAAAAACCTAGATTCTTAAAACACTTTACACACACACTAATATAAACTTTGAAATAAATGCAAAAACAAGTTTGTCATACATTTTTGATCGTGTTTAAATCCGGAAAGGTTGTTTCCAGCTTTAAACTAGCAATTATGCTTCCAGTTGTGTCCTTTGAAATTGTGAATCCCTTTTCTTTTCTATCCATATCCTTTCCTATGAAGACAAATCCCCTCCATTCTTAACTTCTTCTGACCGTTCCCTGGACTTAACCATGTTGAAAAGACACCGTTAACTGTCTAGAAGGAGCTGTGTATGGCAGTTCTTGAAATCTTTAACCGTAATTTTTCCAGTGAGAAAATCACAAAAGTATATATATTTTGTGTATTAGATGTTGACATTTTTATTGCCTTAGCTAATTTAAAGTCCTTGTAAGATTAAACACAGTTAAAAAATAAATAAAAAAAAGCCTAATTTCTTAAAACTTTTACCATAAGGGGGAGTTGAATCATTTTGGACATGGCTGTATGTACAAAAATGGATAAATGCGGTGGTGGGTTGGGGGTGTCAGCTGGGGGCAGTGTAGACTTAATGAGGTGAGGAAAGAACTGTTGCCAGTGGGAAGGGACTGGAACAGTGTGTGTCCAGGGTGAGAGGGGTCAGCTGATTGCACTTTTCTGGGTCCTGGGTACAGAGTGAATAGATGCGGAGAAAAAGGACTCGGCCTTGGGGGACCCAGTATCGATTATCCCAGGGTCAGAGACACTCTGCTCCCGCCTCACCAACCGCCATCTGTCACGAACATTGCACTCGCAGTGGAGGTGGGACAAATCACTGCAGAAGAGATGTGCCTTTGTCGACAGACTACTCCACATTATCATTCAGGACCACCTCCGATTATTCGTAGGAGCACACAGTCTCAGTCACCTCTCCGTCAATTCTGACTGATTGGTGCCGTGTTTCAGGTCTCCTGAGGTTCCACTAGCCCCTTGATCTTGGCAATGTTCAGTTATTAATACTCCAGTCAGCGAAGGCTTTGACAAGGTGTTGTATCTGGAGTCAAAGGTGCAGAGGGTGAAAAGAAAAGAAGCTAAAACAGTACTCTGTGAAACCCAAGTACTGCATTCCAGTGTCCCAGTAGCACATTTCCCTGTCCACCAAATAAAGGATTACTACTTTCCATTGATAGAAAGATAACTATACTTTCCCATAACCCACTAAATGCAACACTGACTAAATATGTCAACTATATTATAATTTAAAGGAATTGAATATAATATTGTATGTGTTGTAATTCATTTCTCTGTGTGTATCCTCAGGTTCGCATTAAAGACGCTGACCACGATGTATCAATCAATGATATTGCCTCACTGATCAAGGGAAAATATAAGGATCAGTCAGGTATGGTTGAATCGCACAAGAAAAATACGAGTATACTTAAATCATCTCAACTCAGTGTTCACGATACCTAAAGAGATTGTGTGGTGACTCGTATTTGTAAATGGAGCACTCACTGTGCGCATTATGTATGTGCCACAGGGATCGTGTATGTGTTCTCTCAGAAAGACGCAGAGTCTGTGTCAGCTGAACTCCAGAAAAGAGAGATCTCGGCATATCCCTATCATTCTAACATGGACCCCTCGGACAAGTCCCGGGTTCACCGCAAATGGGCGTCTAACAAAATCCAGGTACACACTGTCATACCAGGGAGATTTACAGGGATGTATTCAGATGTTTCTGGTGGAGATTTACAATAAAATTTACATTTAAATGAATTGTAAGTAAGATTTAACCAAAATCTGATCTTTAGAAAAGCATTTAATAATATAGTGGCTCAGTTTTTTCATTTTTTACCCCATATTAAACCATTAAATTTCCTCCTAATTAGTTGAATGGACCCAAATGTCATCCTATCTTAGCATGTTACAGTACATATGTGTGTTGTTTTTCAGGTGGTGGTTGCCACGGTAGCATTCGGCATGGGCATTGACAAAGCTGATGTGAGGTTTGTTATCCACCATACCATCAGCAAATCCATCGAGAACTACTACCAAGAGAGTGGACGTGCAGGTGCATGCCTGCAAAACCTTTTTTCTTTTTTTTTTTCTTCTTTTTTTTTCCTTTCTCTTCTTTTTTTGCAAGCACACAGCCTATGACGACGTCTGATTTGTTTTGCCTAAAGGTCGAGACGACCATCCTGCAGACTGCATCGTCTATTTTGGCTTCGCTGATATCTTCAGGATCAGCACCATGGTCGTCATGGAGAACGTGGGCCAACAGAAGCTGCTGCAGATGGTTGAATACTGCCAGAATGTCGACAGGTAACATTATAGATCCTGAAACGATGGTTGACGCACCACAGTCTGACTATGCTTCGTGTTTCACCTGCGCTCTGTGCAGGTGCCGGCGCTCTCTCATGGCCGTTCACTTTGACGAAGTGTGGGACGATGAAGGATGCGACCAGATGTGCGATACGTGCCGAAACGCTCAAGGTTTGGATTCTATACTTACCTCTTGAAAGGTATTCGGTTTAATCTTCCATTTAAAAAAAAAAAAAAAAAGTAGTTTGCCAAGTTAAAACACAGAAATGAAGAGGTTTAAAAGGATTTATTTTTATTACAGAGCTAGAAGTGTGAAATATTTTTGAATTTATTCACTAGAAACTTGGAGTGACCACTTCTGCACTTTGGTACAGATGCTTTCATTTTAAGGCAAAAAGGCCAAACTGCTCGGCCTCCTTCGAGTGGGAAGGCTCTCCTCTTTAATCAGTAAACTGTAACTTACACAACAGAATGGTCAGAATGAGATCAGGGCTTTGAATTGGCCATTAAACATATTTAAAACTTTAAACATATTTCTTAACGCCCCACTTTAATCCACCCTTTTAGCTATTTTAAAGCATTTAAATTGTGATTATGAAGTTGTTACTTCTGCTTCTTGACCTTCTTTCCTGGTCTTTAAGCGATTTGAAGTGTTTGACTTTGTTTTTATGTAAAAACCAAAACAGACCAGAGCATTCTAAATGGGAAGTCAGGTTCTCAAATCAGTTATGACATATTCAAGGACATCATCGTTGTCCTGTTCAACAATGTGGCTTACAAGATAACTGAAATTGATTATGGAGGGTTCTTACACGCTGAAGTACCGTAGTGTAAAATGCATTTCATTCTCTTGATTTAATTTAATTAATTAAATATAACTGATGTCTTTTTACAAAACGGCTCCGTGGAACCTACTACAATCCATTTAATTTGTACAAGCAAGCAAAATGGCCTTAAGCCAAAACTGGCGAATACCTGTGTTTGGAACTCTGCAATATTTCTTAATAATGATATAAAGGGCTTCTCGTTGGCCGCCCCGGTCACTCTCTTTATCTAATGGGTTAATCGTCCTATCTCTCCAGACTACCCCAACGTGGACATAACTCTACATGCCAAGCAGGTGGTGCAGATTTTGGAGTTGGCGACCTCCATGGATGAGAAACTGACCCCACTTAAGCTGGTGGAGGCGTGGACTGGGAAGGGCCCCGCCAAGCGCAGGAAGATGATTCAAACCACAACAATGCCTCGGCAGCAAGCTGAGGCTGTGATTGTCCGCTTGCTTCTCCAGGGATACCTCAGGTGACTCTTCCTTTTGGCGTGTTCAGTTTGCAGCACATACACACATAGCGTGGTGGTAATTTCTCTCTCTGGGAAATTGTGACCAGTGAGAAATATTTTGCACCAGTATTTATTTATTTTATTTTATTTTTTGTGATCGAGTCAATCAATGAAGCATTTCTAGTCCATTTTGATTTCTCATCCTTTACATAAATAAGCCAAGCTAAAGGCCAACAAGCAGCACTGATGCAAACAAGAGCAGACCATATCTCAAATTCACAAATATGGTTGCGATCAGAAGTTTATATATGCCATCTTGGAAAAAATATAATAATATAATAATAATTTAGGCTAATCATCCATTTGAACTATTCTTTTCCCACAATGATATGATATATACAACATTCAACTTTTAATCCATTTCAAAACAATAACAAGATGCATAGCCTACGTTCTAATCCACTCAGGTTCAAAATTAAACATACAGGCCGAAATATACACATACATCCCATTTTATGATGTCCTTTAGATCTTTTTACATCACCTTTAAACGTACATTCTCTTAACTATTCTATAAAGTGGTGCCGGATATTCGAGAATCTATTTTATTTTGACGTCTTGTCGGTGTTCAGGACTGACTGCAGCTGAAAGCATCTTCTTGCCAGCATAAAAAGAATGGGGAGAAATATTTGATGGTTGGATGAGACAAAGATTGATCTTTTTGGCTACAGGAACAAACAAAAACAAATTTTATTGATATAAAGGCTTTTCACCACCAGTAGTCTTGGACAGAATTAGGTGTTACAACAGGATAGTCACCCAAACGCACATTAAATCTTGGTTCAGAATGGATAAAGCATTCTAAAATTATACCCTTATACCCTTTCAATGGCCTTCCCAGAGCCCTGACTTCAACCATATAAAAAAATCTTGTGACTCTAGGTCCAAATAAGCTTGCTAATACAAAATGCATGGGGAGGCTAAAACTTTCTAAAGGATCTCTAACCAAATATGAGGTTGGGTGCATACATTAGATTTTGACCCAGTGTGGATTAGCAAGACCATCAAATTAACTCAAACTTATGCACTCAATGTTTATTTTAAAAAGAATTAAAGTTGTATCCTGCATTGACATTACATCACAAAACAAGAACAATTACCAGTTTAAAAAGTGATATTCTTAAATGGGTTTTATATGTATGTATGTGTTTATGCAGAGAGGATTTCAGTTTCACTCCATACACCACTTACTTTTATGTGAAACTGGGCCGCAAAGCTCCCCTGCTGAAGACCCCGACCCACACGCTCAAAATGAAGATGAGGGCACCAGAAGCTGGACCTGCTGTGGTGAGTATACACTGGCCACGCGTCTCTTTCCCTGCCATAATCTGTTCCCACTGCAGAACAGATTATAACAGGGACACCGACATTTGAGCCAACCTCAAACGCATCGATATCAAAGGGTTGGAAAGACTCCAGAATCAGTCACAAGCGTGTGACCGATTCTGGAGTCTTTCCAAAAATGGTTTGACATCCATGACGAGTGATCGGTTTCCTGCTCGTCTCTGATTCGCTGGGACCAAAAAAAGTTTACCACCATAGATCACAGAGCACTTCATCTGTATGTAAATATATTACAACTCCAGCAGACATATAATTCTGAAGTCATTTAAATATTTCTCCTATATCTCTCTTGTTTGTGTATTCATTTGTAATTTTCTTCCTTCTAATCCTTCCTTTTTGTGAGACTTCTAACTAGTTTCCTCTTCTTCCCCTTGACAATATGTTTTTCCTCTGTGATTTTCAATTGTAATAACACATTTTTCTCCTAAGAATGTCCACTGAGGTAAGTGAAAATTGAATTGGTGTTTAGTTGTGTTACTTTGTTGTTTCTGTTAAAAGCTGCTGATCCACAAAGTAGTGACTTACAAGGCAATAACCATCATCACATGAACACTTTTGCTGGTTCTTATCAATCGTACCCTTCACCCCTTGTAGATTTCATCTCTACTCTTAGAATAAACAATGTTGTGTAGTTTTGCTAAAGTGACTTGCTCAGATATTATACATAATGGATGCAATACCGATCATTTGAGAGGTTTATGAATTATTTGTATTCTCATTTATCTAGTCAGATATCCTTTGCTTGTTTTATGCTTTAGCAGTTTCGACATCTGGCCGCTGAGTAAATATTTTAAAAGAAAGTAGTTCTTAAACTGCGTTTAAGGAAGAAAATTGATTCTACACCGTCAAGGTTTAAAAGTTTTAACTTTCTTAAAGAATTATCTCAGTTATTGGACATTGGACATTTTATGTGTGAGCGTTTCCAGTTAGACGTAATGATTAGCTGTTTTGAGATTCATGAAGCTCTGTGAAACGAAGCAGGTGATTTACTTGACTTGGAATAACTGCTCGGTGAGCCTCGAACTCACCGCACTGAATACAGATGAGGTGTTCAAGGAGCCCTGTGGGAGCCGCATGACGGCTGTGATAAAAGATAGGTGGATGCACAGCCGTGTCCCGGATTGTTCCCTCCCTTTACCCAATCTAGTTCTCACCTCTTTCAGGTAAAGACTGTTAATAACCCGCAGGTAAAAGCCGCGAGTGGCCAGGGCAAGTCCAAAGAGCCAAAGAGATCAGGGCAAAGCGCTGGAGACGCCCCCGTGTCCAAGAAAGTCAAGACAAAGCTTTCGTAGCCCCACACCTTACCCAGAAGACAAGTCAGCAAAGTACAGTCCCTCATTCTTTCCTCTGTTTACCTTTGCTTCTGTCGGCATGATACTATCCACACTTTTAACTTCATGCTTCGGGCTGGACGCTGCAGGCCAGTGAAGCACTGAATCCAGTGTCTGTGTCATGTTAAAAGCTTTATCAATTGTAAATTAATAAGCACGGTGTCATCTAATTATTTGGAGTGACTGGCTTGGGTGATCTAAATAAAGTCCAGCAACCTTATGATGCTGGACATTTAACGCACGTCTTAAATGTTTAATGTTTTTTTTACATTTTTTTTAGTTCAGTTCAATTTGTCTACTAATCTGAATGATCCTTTGACAATCAGATGATAAATGTATTTGTCCTTGGAGGGTTTTGTCTTAGTGGCTAGTTCCTGCCGCCTTATTAAAGTCATCAAAGTTGAATTCTGTGCTTCTAAATACCAAAATAAAGCCTGTAGAAGCACACTTCCTAAGGTTTAAAGTTTACGAAAGCATTATTAAAAGATGGGGAGAAAAACATTTTTTATGTTCTAATTTGATAAATGGTTAGAAATAAATCTTCAGTCTGAATCCTGAATTTGAACGTGCCACGATTGCATTTGGAAGCAGGAAAAAATAAAGCGTCCATCTAACTGACGTGAATAAAATAGGATTATCACCCGAGCCTGTCTCTCACAGCCCATTTTCAGGAGCATGTCTCATCTGTCTCTACTTTTCATAATACTGTAATTGGTCCTTTTTTTTTGTCACTAAGTCAAACGAAGGCCAAATGTCTGTTACATCTGCTTAGGCTACCGGTTGCTTTAACATGCTTGAAAAGGGAATGGAAATGAGCGGCATGGTTTACTAATTGACAGATCAGAGTCTTTGTGGTCCTGACTAACATCGAGTTTCACGATTACAGGACGCATCGGCCCCAAAAGCGAGCGAAGAGGAGGAGGTGACCTTCGACCCCTCTGTCACCGAGAATAGCCAACCCCCAGTGCCCAAACAGAAACTTTTAAAGGAACAGAGAAACCTGTCCAAAAGACAAGAGAAGAGACTGTACATATCCCAGAATCAGACTAAGAAGAATTTGGAAACCGAGCAAGCGGATAAAGCGGATTTTTGTGAGGATCGGGGACCGAAAGCGCGTCAAAGCAATCATTCCAAATTCCCGAAAGGAAGGAGAAGACCCCCGCCCAGCGCAGCCGCGAGCTCCCCCGTGCCCAGCTCTCCATCCCAGGCCTCCGTCATCTCGGACACGGCCGCCGAGGAGCTCTGCGACCTCCGAAATTACTACAGCAAGCAGCTGAAGAGGATCAATTACATCTCCCTGGAGCACCTGGGCCAGCCCGCCGAGCCCGGCGTGCTCTCCTGCATCCGGGAGCCCCTCCGGAGCCTCCGCCTGCCCCGCCGGGTGACCATCGCTCGGACGGCCCGCAGCCTCTGGACGCGGGTCAGCGGCAGGAGGCGACTGGTGCAACGCTGACCACAACATCCCTACACGGATCATAGAGGAGCCGAATAAAGGCAGAGCTTAAATTTCCCCCCAGAACCATTCCAACAGATCCAATCAAAGAGCGGATGTTCTCATTTCTACAAACGAGTTAAGGTAGAAGTAACACAGGTAATACATGTTTCAATACTCCGGACAGAATTCTAAATTGAAGGCGGTGTGTAGTTGATTTGGTGCTAAAATTCTGCCTCAGAATCATGCACGGTTACAGAATTTGATGATATTACAGTTTGAGGAGGTTGCTGGGTGTAAAGGCTAAAATTTAATGTGAGATGATTTAGGCTTCCCGCAAGGAGTTTAGATTGAGTTATCCCCCTTGTTATTTTCCTGCTGTTAAAATGGTCTCGAAAGCAGCACATTAACTCATCAACACTGAATAACACTGTGTAACCTGCAGTCATAGCCCATTCCAGCCCCCAGGAGAGTTTAGTCCCCAAGGGGAGTCTCCATGGCATTGGTAGGCTTTTATTTGCAAAATAAGCAAGGCCTAAAAGTGAAAAATGATTGTGAACTATTTTGTTTTTGACACTGTGTTTGTTGAAAGACTAACTATACTCATGTGAAGAGTAGCTTCTTTGTTTTGTCAAATCGTTCAGTCTTTGTATTTTTACACAAAGCTCAGTCTCAGTTTGTATTTTTGTTAATTATGTGTTTGAGCTATAAAACCCTGAAAAACATTCCGAAATTGAGTTACTTCTTTTGTTGTCTTTTAGAGTTAAATCACCATTTCAATGAGGTTTCTCAATGAAGCAATATATTTTTCTTTAGAATATTTATAATGAAAACACTGAGTGGAGATGCGTCGAAAACAAAGCAAACATTTTGAAATCGTAGGTAGGATTTGGTTTTAATTTAAATCATTAAATAACATCTGAGTCGATTTTGAATTAATTAAAACCCTAACCCAAAATAACTAATCAAACTCAACATATCAATATAACATGTTCATTTGAATTTGCAGATCCAAATTAGACTTATCAACTTTATCTTTAAATCAAATAAAAAATACTGCTTACTGTTAATAGAGAAACCCATTTTTACAGAAAAACAAGTTATCTCATGTTTCTTCTTTTAGAATTATCTTGTCAAGGCAGTTATTGCATAGTTTTGTGCTATATGGCCCCATGCTCAGCTGCTTGGAATCCTTAAAAATGCTTGAATTTTTAATGTGGTCTCTTCAAGAAATTAAAAATACTTGAATTTTCCATTGATTTAAATAGCCCTGCTGAATGATGTATCACAATAATTATCGGTTTCGTGTTGAGAAAGAGATTTCAAGCAGTTAAAATCCCAGAGAACAGAGTGAATGCCTCTGCTGTTCTGATTCATTTTGGCTAAAGGGAAAAACAGTCATTACATTTGTTATCTATGGTGTGCTTTCATGGAGAAAACTGACTATTTTCTCTTTTTTTAACCAAATGAAAGGCAGATCATTTTAAAAAACATTTTATTTAAAAAGTCTCAAGGAACTGATTTACAGTCTTTCTCATAAACATTGAAAACGGCTAATCGATTATGAAGTCCTTAGTTAAACATGCTCATCACAGAAAAGGCTACAAACATATATATATATATATATAATTGCCATTTTTGAGTATGTGTGTGTGTATATATATATATATATACACACACATATGTATGTTCAATAGATTTAATTTAAAATTGATCTTGAAAACCCTTCAACTTTGCTTCATCTGTTAACTGGGAATG